TCTGGAATATACGAAGCTCGTAAAAGAGCCCCACTGTTCAATTCTGATCATTGTATTGCACGAGTCTCACCCAAAATTTACGGAAAGCTACACAGTAAAGTCCTCTCAAAATTGTCTAAGAAAGTTGTTCACAGATGCTACTCAAATGAGAACGTACATCATCTTAGAAACATGCTCAGTGACACAAGATGGGATTTGTTTAATGATGATTCACTTAATGACAATATCTCTAATATCACATCCTATCTGAAATTCTGTTTTGAAATCTGCTGTCCAAAAGAAACACTATTCGTCAAATTTGATCGTTTCTCCTCGCCTCAACTTAAAAAGCTTCGTAGAGAGAAGGAAAAACTATATAAAATCAAAGATAAAATTGGTGTGAAAAGAACTAACTTCTTAATTAAGTCTGAAATGCAGAGGTTGAATGTAATATATGACCAGAAATTCATGTCCTGCAAAAATCCTTCTAATATGTGGAAACAATTTAAGGAAATCACTGGTGGTAAGCAGATAAACAATTGTGGTGATTGACAATTTCTATCTCTGTATTGTTTAAATACTTACTGTTGACTGTTGATATGTTTCTTATATGAATTGCATTCTAATTCCACTAAATACAAATTACTGATTGCTGCCCTCTCTGGGTTTTGATTAGATTCCTATAATTCCGTCATCCCGGTATATTAATATTTCCAAGTACAATAAATTACTACACAATATTCCATATTCTTTTGATGTTTGTACTCTTAACAAATCTTTTATTTACTCTCCCTCAAATGCCATGCTTCCCAGCATCACTTGTGTTAATAATAGCCCCTTTCCAGGTTTTAACACAAATGATGTTCAAAAGTGCCTCAAGTCTCTAAACCCTTCCCAGAGCTTAGGTCCCGATTATGTGCCTAGTATTATTTTTTAAAAATGTTCTGATATTCTGTGTCACCCTCTTACTGATCTATTTAACAAATCTTTTTCCGATAATATTGTGCCTGCCGTTTGGAAGGACATTAAAGTTGTACCCATACCTAAATCTTCTACTGGAGCATGTGTCAAATTTAGACCCATTGCTATTACGTCTCCTTTTTTGAAAACTATGGAGAAATTACTTTTACTTAGTCTTGAACCTTCGCTTAAATCCTTTAATGACCCTAAACAATTTGCCTATAAGCACAGTAGAAGCACTTTAGATGCAGCTGCCGTCTTATTTCATAACATTGCTTCCAGTCTAGACAAGGGGGCTAAATTTGTTCGTTGCGCCTTCCTAGACTATACATCTGCTTTCGACTCGGTCCCTAGGGACATCTTATTAAATAAACTTGCTGCTAGTCAAACAGAATGTTGGGCTGTTAACTGGTTGCATTCCTATTTCTCAGATAGAAAGCAGTACACCGTATATAAAGGGAAGTCCTCCACCTCATTGCCTACTGAAGCTGGTGTCCCTCAAGGTGCTGTCCTTTCTCCTTTTTTTTTCTTTCTTCTTGCATGACTTGCCTCACTCTGATGAAATAAACTTTGTGAAGAATGCTGATGATTTAACGGTTTCAATGGCTGTTAACTCCCAGCTAGATTGTACTAAAATAAATAGCTTTCTGTCGGGAGTCAGCAAATGGTCTGAGCCTAACGGTCTTAAACTGAATCCTTCTAAATGTCAAACTGTTGATTTCAGCTTAAGATGTAAACGACAGTTAAAAGAAGTCATCGATTCTCATGACAGTTGTAAAATTGACGATAATGATATAGGAATCAAATCAGAAATTAATTATCTTGGACTCATTCTCTCTTCTGATCTCTTCTGGTCTTCCCATGTCTTAGCAATCTCCAGTAAAATATTCCGCTTGACATTTTACATTAAGAAGTTAAGACACTCGGGTATAACTCAACCCCTCATCCTACAGTTCGTAAACTCTTGCATCCTACCTATTCTTCTTTATTGCTCACCCTTATTCTTTCCTGGTTTGCTTAAAAAGGACTATGTCACAATTCGTAGAATACTGAAGACTGTCATTAGAGTGAGTGGCGTCCCAGTGGGCCACATAGTTAACGTCGTTGTCGATAGGCATTTGACTTCGTGCAATAAATTTCCTAAAGGGATTTTGTCTGACTTGGAGCATCCGCTTTACCCTCAGCTTTCACCTTGCATCTCCTCAGGTAGAACAAGGAGTAACTTCAGAAAACTGTATGCTCGCACGTCTAAGTATAAGAAGTCTATGATACCATACTTGGCATGTATTTTATGTGATGAAAATAGTGTCAGGCAAGAATTAACTAACCTTCTTTCGTCTAGTAAATAAACAATTTCCTCCATCCATCCTTACATACCTTCAAGTTTTACTTTTATTCTATTATATTTATGGTCCTGTTACTTCTCTGTTTTACTCTCATAATTGCAAACACCAACTTATCTCCATGACGGCTGTAATCTATGTTTTTTCCTTCACCATATCATGTAGAAAGAACATTATATTCAATATTTTTAAACATGTTAGGATTTCCATACCACATTGACAATACTGTGTGGCACAAGCCAACGGCAATTTTCACTTGTATTCCTATTATTATTACCCTAGTTGTTATCATTATTATTGCTATTTCCATTTTATATGCTGCATGTTTTTGACACTACCCCTATTGTAAATGTGAAAACTTTTCTGTGATTAATTTTATTTATAATTTGAGGAAATTAGATGCAATATTGTGATTAATGCTGAAAATTCCATTCTGTATCACAAGTACTGTTTTTGGAATAAAGTAAATCATTATTATTATTATTTCATTTACTTTGTTGTGTACTTTTCCTAATGCTGACAAGGCTCCTCCACATGTATATCTTTAAGAAAAATCTGCAGAAATACTTAGAAATTATATACGCATAGAATTTCCTTATTTTATGGCTTAAACTTGACGTTTGCAGGCAGATACAATATCGATATTGTATTGTTGAAAAATGTTTAATGATGTAATTATATACAATTCAACTAATTATTTCGTCATTTCAAACATATTTCATGGTTAATTATTGTGTTTACACTGATAACAATGTCTACATCTGTATAATTCTTATGTTCTTTTTCAGATAATATCTACTTTCGGGAATTTCATGGATTTGGGTGATAAAGAAAAAGATAACTGCACTGTTGTCGATTTTGTATTACATGTTAATTCATTAATAAATGTATTCCTCGTTATTCATTTGTTTATTCTACTTGATAAGACCGAATATTAGCCCTTGCGTAATTTGTGAGGTATAGAGTATATGAGGCTATCTTTGAGATACTAAGTAGGAGCAGATATTCGGAGAAGCCTATTGGTAAAAGGTTATGTTGTAGTCAAATAAAGTAAATATGCCTAAATCGTAGAGGAGGTATTGCGATTATAGAGTGTTTTGAGTTGCCTATTTTGTTAGCAGAATACATATACTGATTCGCGATTCATAGTCACAAAGTGAGAGTAAATCTACCTGAGATAGTTTGCTCGTGATTTCTGCATGCCGCAGTGTACCATAAGGAGAGACTATATCTATGCTGCTGGATGTATGACTCAGTGCAACTACGGTTACCGTAATAATTAAAAACAGAATGCCGAGGGTTCTCAGCCAAAGAACACGATACGTTGCTATCTGTTCATATAATCACGTACACAAAAGTTTTCCAGACGCCGCACTTACTCCTAACAGTTTACCCTCAACTTCTAAGTTAGCACGTGCTACTTATGTTACTGGAACACAATCGCATTACAACAGAGGGAAGACAGATTCATTGAAAAATTGTTTATTAAACAAAAATCAGGTTCCAAATGTACAGATAATTCAGATGAGTAGTCCTCTGTTACCGTCAGTAAGTTCCATCTGCGTAAACGGCACATAAATGTTTTTCCATAAGTCTGAAAAGGTTTAAGAAAAGCATAATTAACTTGGGTATTACATGTATGATCTGAATAAAAAATTTTTTCTGATAAGCATTTACAAGTAATCACTTTACAAACAATATATATATAAGTAGCCCAAGAGTTTTCACTAAACTTAAGGGACTTCACAACTTATCGTTTGTCGATATCCAGTAGGTCCATCGAAGCATCATGAAATGATAAAATTATTTAACGACAAGTTATGCAGTAGTTTTCAAAGCTTGTACAAAGATTTTAGCAAAAATGACATCGGCTTTATGACAAATAATAGGTCTTGACAGCAATAATAATAACATTCATGTTCATAGTGACTATAAAAACAATAATAGGTATTATTATCGTAACGAATTCATCATTAACTTAGATAGACAACTGATAATAATACAATCATACCAAATAAATGTATCACTTAATCTTACGAAACATGTGTTTACTTACTTTCACTGTATTCTATCAATACTGATGTGCTCAACAAGCTTATTCCAACTGAATTTAAGATTAATTCTGAAAGTGAGTGGAGATCCAGTTTGTGTCAAATAAAAACATGTAACTTAAATGTATTACACTGCTTACTGAGACATCTGGTACCTGCTTTCCGATCTTCGTGACAAGAAACGAGTTTATCTAGGTTTACCTACGTATACAAAAGTAATACTTTTGTATATACGTATATATATGATGGTTGATCCAATATCCAATATCGTTTTTACGAGCTAGTATAAACCAATTTGATTTCTTTGTGCTCGCTTCTTGATTGTGAGGTATAGGTTCCTGATCTTCGGTACACTTCTGCGTAGCTTGTCCCGCCATTCGACTGTCGTAGCTTTGGTTGACTCCAAAGGGAGTAGTGCTGGGATTAATTATATGTGGTTTGTAGTATGAAGTATGTTAAGACTGTTACTACTGTGATTGGAGTTGATCCTTTCGCCAGTTAGTCCTTCGGTATCGTCGACAAGAGAAAAGAGATAGTAATAATAATAATAATAGTAATAATAATAGATATAGTTAGTGAAGCTATTCAGACTAAGAGACAGAAACGAAAATAGGAAACGTAACAACAGTCAGCTCATTAAGTTTGAAGAATAATACATATATCGGTAATAGTAATAATAATAATAATAGTAATTATAATATTAATAAGTTGTTAGGAGAGTAAGACGGGAGATAATGTAAAGAAGTAAAATGACGAGTTTAATTATCTACCCCTGATTGGTATATGCGATTTTAAGGAGATAGGCCACTTGGATGCAGTCCTTGTATCGCTGCATGGTTGTCCAGCCTTCGCTTAAAGGCGTCCAAAGACGGTGCCATAGCTACATCTGCCGGCAAGGAATTCCAGGGACGGCAAACCCGCAGTGAAAAGAAGTGGGAGCGCACCCGGGTCCTTGCCCTCTGGTGAGCTATCCTTCTGCGATTTCCACGTGGAAGCCTATACCTACTCAATGGCAGAACACCTTTGTTTGGGTGATTCTGGTCATTTGTTATTTTGTAGGCGGTAATCAAATCCCCCCTAAGCCGACGGTAACTAAGTGTGAACAGGCCTAATTTCTTCAGCCTTTCATCATATGGTTTGTTTCGGAGACCAACCACTCCTTTTGTTGCCCGTCGTTGGACTCTTTCCAATAGGTTGGCGTATCTTCTCAGCATTGGGGGTGCAATAATACTATGCACCTTGAGGTGTGGCCTGACGTATGTTTTGTACAACATTAGAAAGAGCTCAGGAGTGAGTGCATCTAACTGTCTATGCGTAAAGTGTATGACCGCATATGCCCTCGCTAAATCCCCTGTGTAATTTACGCTTGTGTCCATTTTTTCCGTTAGAACTAGACCTAAGTCGCGTTCCGACGTTGTGCAGGACAAGCTTTCATTGCACAGGGTGTAACTTGCATTCTGCAGTCTACAGGTGCGCAACTTCACTACTTTGCACTTTTTCAAGTTGAAAGTCATGCCACTGACCACCGACCAGTCTTCCAGAAGGTTTAGGTCTTCCTGTAACCTATCTGAGTCCTCCGGACACTTTATCGCCCTCCATATTTTTACGTCGTCAGCGTACAGGAGAGTCGGGCAGCTCAGACGGCGTGGTAGATCATTGATGAAAATCAAAAACATCAGTGGTCCTAGGATAGAACCCTGCGACACTCCTGATGACGATCTGTGCCAAGATGATCGGACTCGGTTAACCTTAGTGCAAAATTGCCTGTCTGCTAGGTAGTCCTTCAACCATGACAGAAGTGGCTCACCTATGCCTGCCCGGCTTATTTTATGTAGGAGAAGGTCATGGTGAACAGTGTCAAATGCCTTCTCAAAGTCTAGGAAGACCACATGGACTGGTACGTTCGTATCCCAGCATGATGTCCAGTCGTCCCAAGCTGACAGTAGGTTAGTGACGCAGGATCTGCCTTTCCTGAAACCATGTTGGGCTTCATGTAGTATATTAGTCCTATCGAAATGTTCCCTGATGTGGTCGTCAATAATACTTTCCAGTACTTTGGATATCACTGGAAGTAGAGCTACTGGTCTATAGCTAGCAGCGTTTTGCCTGTCCCCACCCTTGAAGATTGGAGAAAGGATGGCTCTTTTCCACTCCCTTGGCAGGGTCCCAGAATCCATTGAGTGTTGGAACAAGTCGCACAAGGGTCTACAGAGAGCCTCGGCGCAATGTTTCTGCTATCCCCAGACACGCTTTGTGGGACTATGCCAGGGCGACAAAGTGGACACACGTACCAAAACCATGAGCATGGGTTATTTCTCATAAACTCATAGTATGCTTTCGGTACCTCTTTGTCACAATGGCGGTGCACCCATCGTTTGCAAAAATTGCATTCAAACGCTGAATCAGTTTTAGAAACTGTGATGTTGCACGCCTGACATTCATCCCCTTTCCTTGATGACGCCTTCGAGGTCTTATGATGTCTTGAACGTTTCCTTTTAGGCTTGATATGTTTCACACACTGGCCTACAGTTGATGCAGGTGTAGAATTCTGTCCTTCTGGCATTGCCTGTGCCGTTTCAGTACTAGACTGTGGCAATGCAGGCGTTGTATCAGGGCAGACTAAAGCTACACGAGACTTTAGGATCTGTATGCGGGAAGGAGTTGAAATCCCTGGATTTTTTCCTTCCCTGGCTGAAGCCCTTGTGACTACAGAGTACGGTATTCTAGTGGCTTTTTTAGGGCTGCTTTCGACAACCATATTAACAATCACTATAAATTATGCTATATACGTCTAAGAGAGCAACAGTTTCTATCCAAAAGAGCAAGAATAATAATAGTACTTTCTGAATGCAGCATATGCTGCATCAACCATGCCGTATTTATCATGATTAGCCAGACCACTGTGTATATTATACTTATTTAAGGATCTCTGAAAATAATGATCTAGCGATAATTGAAGTTGCGTGAAGTTGTTACTTCTTCAGAACATTGTTTGCATTCTTGACACTCCTGAGAAGTCCTTAGATCTTAATTTGGCATGAATTCGTTGAATTCAGCAAAAAAATCCACTGCTATATCATTTCTTTCCTGAGCTGTAATAATTTGTGTTGTTAATTATCTCTCCAATTTGATAAAACGCTCACGGAAATTCAGAACTTAACCAAACAGCAAAATGATGTTTGAAATTACCTCAACTCGAATGACAAACTGGCCAATCACAAGCGAGTTAATCGCTTGTTTATCTCATTCGCGGTCACTCAAAATTACGGCCGTCTACAGGCTGCCAACTAAGTGCATATGATTACACCATTGAACACAGATCGGCTAGGGATATACCTCATACAGAGTTCTTATCTCGTTATTCATTATTTGAAAATGCTTCTAATGTTACTGATTGTTTGTTAGTCCAGCCGTTACCTGTGGATAGAGTTCGACTTATAAACTTTACTCGGAAATATTACGGATGAGTTATAAATGCAACAAAAAGAGGTTGGAATGTTCAGTGTAAGCGAAGATTTCCAGACTTTTATAAGCGAAGAGATGAGATTTCAGTCCATCCTGAAGGATTTCTATGTCTGAATGACAGAATTATTATTCCTCCAACATTAAGATCTGCGATTTTGGATGATCTACATTCTGCTCATCTAGGAGCTGATAAGATGAAATCATTAGCACGCCTAACATGCTGGTGGCCGGAAATTGATGCTGACATTAACAATAGATCAAAGAGCTGTTCTAGCTGTTTACATAAAATGTCCTATGGGAAGTCATCGTGGACACCGTGGCCTGCATCTTGTGAGGTTTGGCAGCGTATTCATGCGGATTACTGTGGTCCACTCTTAAATTCATACTATGCTTTAGTTATTGTGGATTCTTATTCTAGATGGCCAGAAGTCATCATTACAGATAGTCCTAATGCCAAACTCACTCACAGAGCGTTGAGAAAGATTTTTAGTCGAGAAGGAATTCCAGATGTCTTAGTTACTGACAATGGTACTCATTTTACGGAGAAGAACTTCAATGACTGGCTCAAGCATATAGGTTGTCGTCATTTGTACACAGCACCACGTCATCCTCAGTCAAAAGGGTTGGTAGAAAATTTTGTACGAACATTAAAGAGTGCTTTAGCATCAATGAGTCCTCGAAATTTTGATGAGCTAGAGAGATGTGTGGATAACTTCTTACTTCAATATCGCAATGCGGAGCATACAAGTACTCATGAAAGCCCTGCTAAACTATTCAAATCTCGAATTCTCAGAAAGTATCTGATGTCCACGACTTTTTATGTACATTATTACAGAGGGAATGACCATAGACCTTCTATTGGAATCATACTACAAAAGGTGGGAAATCGAATGGTGAAGATATTAAACATCGAAGATAATTCAGTTCATAACAGACACCTGGACAAAGTGACAATAAATGAAGTAGGTCGTTCCAATTATAATTTTAATGATTCCGCTACTAATCCTGACTTTGTAGATAATTCAGAAATAAGTCTAGATGATACTGATGGAAATAATATCACAGAATCAGTTAGAAGATCGCAGAGACTGGCATGCAAACCGCGATATCATGTACTGTACCATGAGAATAAGTCTATTTATTTATTTAAATGAAATAAGCATATCTCTGATTTCAAAATAACACATCAATGAACTATAATTCAAGGATTCTGCACACAACAAAGTAATGTACGAAAATTGACTTCAAGCTTTATTTTTTTTCCCAGGCAATTATAACCCATCCACCAAAGACCTGGTTTTTTTGTTAATGCGAAGACAATACTTCTGTATTTCCTGATGTGTTGCACTCACTGACAATCAAGCAGAATTTTCAAACTATTCACAGAAATGATTGTACATAAGCGAAAAGGATGTTTTATACTATTGGGATTAACATTTATCAAGTGTGTGTATAATCTCCAGCGTACATGTAAAACATTTTGCTATCGACTGTAAATTGTTACTGAATAATATGGTCCTATTTCTGTAACAATATGATGATGCCTGTAAACTGGCGTCCCTCATGTACTGTGCCATGAGAATAAATTTATTTATTTATATAATCCCGAAAGTCTGCCGAAGTCTGAGCGTATGTTAGACTTTATAGCCAATGAATTGACGAAATGAATCATGTCCTCGTACAACGTTCTCGCTTATAATCTGCCTGATCGGACGCCTCTGGCCAAAATCAAAGTGGCACGTCTCCAAGCGTGTGGCGTGCCATCAGCGAATTGCCGCCAGTAGTCCTAGTGATGCTAGGAAATTCCAGTTGTCAAACAAGTTAATAAGTTCATCTACAACTTATGGTAACGTTAAACTTGCTCATGACCTAACGCCATTTCAAAGACGCAGCCGCGCAAGTGTACCAAGTGTCGCAAAAACATACGTAACTGCAGACTGTCCTACAAAAGACTCTCCCGCCTTATATTTAAGTAAACCTAATGCCACAGGCACGCATGGAAATGAAATACTCTTAAATAATAAAGCTTTACCTGATAAACTCAACTGTGAAGTAAGTATGGTCATAGACTTGGATGAATCTTTAGAGTTATGCTCGCTAGACACATCACCGTTAGATGCTAATACCACTACCGATGTTACGCAAAAGGCTAAACTCGAGCACCTAGCATTAAATATAACCTCCCTGAGTAGAGTTCAAACTAGGGAGCATACAAAACGAAGTAAAATAACCCTGCTATCTAGAATACCTGTACTCAAACCCGTCACTGATAGGTTTCTCAGCAGTAAACCAAATAACACTAACTTTACCAACTCCAATCATACTGCTAACGCAGGGAAGCTGAATAAGTCTTCTTCATATAACGTCAATGAAAAGAGAGGTAACCCACCGATTCACCCAACCTCGAACAAATCTTCGTCCAATAGACACAACAGACGTATATGTCTGGGCACCCTAAAAAACAGTCGAAGCCCGATGGGCAGGCATACACCTACCCCGACACAACTCTCCAATCTATGGCTAATATAGACAAAAGTTTGATCCAGGGACCTCTACAACAAGGAACAAGTGGGTTAGGCTTGTTTCCTAAAGGTGGCCTTTTGACTCACCACATCCCCGAAAACCACAGCATACAGACCACCCAAGACCATCAATGGACTAATATTTACGAAAACAACTTAAAAACACAAAATATTAGTCATAACTGCGATACACGTAACTCTACCCCAGCATACTATACACAAGGAATACCTACCTCCCCCCATCCAATCTAAATTTTCTCAGCCAACACGAAATTTCAGCCTCAATATTGACGCAAATAGCACACAAACTGTCAAGCCACTTGTCACTGGATGGAAGGGCGGTGCATTAGAGGCACGGTATTATGAACACCTCATACCCGCCAGGGTAACAAACGATAGCACATCTCTCGGTGCTGATACTGGTGTAGGGCACTTTTTTAGCACGGCTAGTAAGTGGCCACCATCTGAGTTAGCACCCATCAAACAATCTGCTCTAGACGCCATAAACTTTGGAGAGAATATTTTTAAAGATATATGCGATTTTACCGTCACTCCTAACTCTCTCTCATTCTGTCTTATCAATACTCGCTCCTTACTCAACAAAACGTTCGACTTCACGACATTATCCCTAATTTGCAACCCGTCCCATAATGATTACTGAGACATGGTGCACTCCTCAGGTTTGCGATAAAGATATTTCTATTGATAACTATTATGTATTCAGAGGCGACAGAAACTATGGCAGAGGAGGAGGATGTGCGATGTATATCAGGTCTGATATTAAGGCCACACAGTGCTTCTACCCAGAGCTCATCACAGATAACGATTCAGTGTGGGCTATTCTAAGACTGTCTCACTCCAGTTCCTATCTTATAGGTTGCATCTATCATCCCCCGTGCTCAACTGCTGAAGGTAATATGAAGCTTGCTAGCACTTTCGCTTACGCCACTGCACTACCTCACAAGGCTAGAATTATATGTGGAGACTTCAATATGCCCGATGTAGTCTGGCAACCACTTTCCTCACCAAAACGGTACAATGAGTTTATCAACATAATAGAAACAAAAGAATGGCAACAACACGTACAGTATCCTACCAGGCTATCTAAGATTCTAGATCTAGTTTTCACTAATGGTATCAACCCCACTACCGTTCGAGTAGGTAAAGATTTTCCTGGCACCGATCACAGAATAGTGTTCGGTACATTCAATATTTGCACTGGCATGAGTTCGACAATAAGCGCCAACAAAGTATTACTCAGGGGTTACAGACATGCTCAGTGGGATGACCTGAAACCATACACACTCACCCCAGACTGGGAGACAAACTTAACATGCAGCTCGACAATAGATACAAACAAATTAATCTATGAGAACCTAGGATTTGCAAATGATTTCATCGCTCCAGTAAGACTTGTGAAAACGAGGCCTAAACAGCCCGACTACATCACCGTAAAGATTCGAAACCGACTGCCTAAGCATGCTAGGCAATTTTACAGATGTTGTAACTTTTCATCATTCATTACAGTCAGTTTCGTCTCATAAACCGTTAATGCCCAGCTCTCGCTACGCTCGGGCCCACGCTGTTCCTTTGAGTTTCAGAAACGCTTAGTTATAACGGACGCAAAAACCAAAACACCGACCTGCAGTTTGATATTTCTGTATTGTTACACCAACATATAAAAGGAATAAACGAACTAAGGTCTGTAAACAAATATTACAATAATAAATCATAAGATTACTTCTGACGATGTTTCACTCTTCTTTCTGAACAGCGACCGATGAGACGATGACTGTCGTATTGATGCCTCCGCGAAAATTGGAGAAGTTGATTTTAAGCAAACAACCAAGAATTGATCGTTCAATCTTCAACTCCATTGACACTCCCCGGCAGAAAAGGGATCCAACCCTTTTTTCCT